AGATAGGACTGGCGTACCAGCGTAACCCTGTCGCTGAGGAAAATGCTATAGTTCACTACTGCCATAGTTATGCTATGCTTTATGTAGCTTGGAATAAATAGAGACACTGTTGTCCGGGACGTTGGGCACAGCTTTTGGGTTCTGCTGCTTTTATGACCTTGAATGAGTTACCAAGGCTTGTTTTACCCTGTACCAGCAGCCAGCAGGGATGGTTCCCCCATGCTTAGTTGCTAGCGCTGAGGTCAGAGAGTGTCTTGGAGATTAAATCATGTTCTTAAAATGCTTTAAAAATCAAAATGATGTGAACAGCTTTGCTGTTGCTTTTATAGGTTTTGCTCTTGGAACTGGATCCACATGGGCAAGTCTTTGTGTCCGTGCAAGGCGCTGTTGAGGTAAGCAGGATTTTGCAGGAGCTATGGTGGCTTGTGGTGTTTGACACTGTGCTCTGCCTTCTCTTGATGTTTCAGGGCACAGAACCGAAAAATACGATGAATGTTTATGCCTGTTTATTGGTTGTCTTGGGCCTAGTTCTGTATGGGAAGATGGTGTGTCCAGATGGGCCGTAGGTGTACAGGGCTTTTAAGATGTCTCTGCCTCACTGATTTTTTTTGTTTTCTGTTTCTTGCTCCGGCTTTTTAAAGCAGCTTTCAGCAAATACTTGTTCCCATGTATGAAGATGTCCTTAGTGGACCTAGGGAAGAGGTTGCTAGAAGCAGCTCGCAAAGGCGAAGATGACGAAGTGCGAAAGCTGATGGCAAGCGGGGCACCTTTCACCACTGACTGGGTACGTCGGGGGAATAGACATCGGTTTTCTGAACCTGAAGGATAGAAATAGGAGCGGTAAAACCGGAGCGTGGATTGGCAGATAATGCTTCTCTGGATTTCTGTGATGGAGCAGATTCCAGATGAAGCACTTCAAAACCCAAGACCTTCCTCAGGCAAAGATGAATTGATGTTTGTGTAAAGGTTGATCTCTGCCTCACACACAAGAGCACAACCACGAGTACTGTGTTGTCCTGAACAGCAATGTGTACAGGGCTGATACTTTGAGAAGTGCAGTTCCCCGCAGCTGAGGCAAATGATGAGTCAAGTCAAATTGGAAGAACTGTTAAACCTCTCAGTAACAGGAAGTTCTTTTAAGAATGCTTTAATTGGTTAAACTCTGTCAAATGAGAAACTCATCCTTGATTAGTTTGCTTTTGTGCTTGTTTTTTTATGTTTCCTTAAAAGAACAAAACCCTGAAAACAAACCAGGCCACCCTGGGTTGGAAAGGAAATAAAAGCTTTAATGAAACTGAGGAATAACAGTTGGATAAAAAGAGAACCAGATCATAACGCATAAGCCATTGGGAGCCATTTTCCATCACCAGATGTCATCGTTTCCTAATTCATCAGTGCTTTCATTCATAGCTTTACGAGATGAAGGAATTAACTGTATCAAGAGGTAGCAGAGCCTAGGGGTATTGTGATACTGCCCTTTTCTAAACAGCGCTGAAATTACTTGTCATGATATAGAAATGGCAGAGCTGGTCTGCTGTGGTTTGGAAAAGAAGCTCAGTGATAAGTAGATGGCACAGTGGAGAAAGTAAAAGCATGTTTGATCTTCAAGTTACCAGGTAACGTAAAGATCCCTAAAAAGTTTAATGTTTGTTTGGAAAACTATTGGATGTGCAGCCCCCTGAGTGGAGAAAAAAAAAGCAGGTTAAATTAATTTCTTGCAGAAGCTTTGTCATTTTAGTTACTACTGGACATACATGTGGTGATTACTGTGCCTGTCCTCTCTTGCTGTGAACCAGCAGTAACTCTTCTAAATTAACACGCAGCTTGGGACGTCGCCTCTTCACCTCGCTGCCCAGTATGGCCACTATTCGACAGCGGAAGTGCTGCTTCGAGCTGGCGTTAGCAGAGACGCCCGAACAAAAGTGGACCGGACACCACTACACATGGCTGCAGCTGACGGACACACTCATATCGTAGAACTGCTAATTAGGGTAAGTATAGTAAATTAGGTCTAACTTCAAGGCTGGTCTAAGTCACCCTTGGAGTGAAGTGTTGATGTCCCTGTTTAAATGCTAGCGCAGGCACTGCCTTTAAGACATTGAGAGGAGACAGTGCGCAGACAACTAATGCTGCTTTCTTTTAGAACGGAGCTGATGTAAATGCCAAGGACATGCTGAAGATGACCGCTTTGCACTGGGCGACAGAGCACAACCACCGAGACGTCGTGGAGCTGCTCATCAAATACGGAGCTGATGTCCATGCTTTCAGCAAGTTTGACAAGTCGGCTTTTGATATTGCTTTGGACAAGAACAATCCGGAGACTCTGGTGATGCTGCAGGTAGGCTGAGAAGGGAGAAACTTGTTGGTAATTCTCTGACCCACAGCTGTGTCTGCATGAGAGTGAGAGGGATCCTGCTGTGTCTGGTGGGATCGTTTTCTGTTTACAGAGAGAACTAGAGATGAAGTTTGCTTAGTTTCTGGATCAACTGGTGCGTGCCTGCTAGGACTCAGTGAGTGATGGGGTTTTATTGCCACACATCTTGTGCAGTCGTAGTGTAAATTGCCAAGTTGAGGTGGCAGTGTTGGCACAGCTTTTGCACTGGTGTCCCTGACGTGCTGCAGAGAGAAATAATCTGCCTCTAAAATGTTTCAAGGATGCTACATACTGTTGCTTACCACAGAAAACGTGAGGAATGTATACCTGACCCCAGTCTCTTTCCTAGGAAGCAATGCAGAACCAGGTGAACACTCACCCGGAGAGAACGGATCCCATCACCAACACTGTGACTCTCACCTCACCGTTCATCCTTACGCCAGGGGAAGTTCTCAATCTCGCTAGTCTCATCTCTTCAACAAATGCCAAAACAGCCTCAGGTAAGGTTTTAGGTGACCTTGAGTGGGAAAGTCTTGAAAAAAGTTCCTAAGACTGCTTACCAGTAGAGGGCAGATGGTCATTTAGTAGAAGAAAAGTGAAATACAGCCAAACACACCCAGCTACTGTTTCCTGCCCCAGAATATTTTTGCTGTTGAAGGTAACAAAGCAGATTTCTAGCTGATGTAAATAAAGGTGGTTCCACTGGAAGTAGCCAAGCTCTGCTGAGCGCAGCTGTGGGGCTGCTCCGGGTCTTTTACAAGCAGCAGAACTTGAGAAAGTGAATTTGGCTGATTGCAACAGAGCAATAATGAGAATTATTGCCTGTGCCAAATCCTGAGCACTGCGGAGCGGTTGGGGAACAGTTTGCTTTGTTCTTTACTGGCTACAAGAGTTGAGTGAGTGTTTTGCTATATATAAATGTTGAGTAAGGAAATTGCAGAATAAGCAGGTCTGTGGGTTATGTAGCTTACTCCTTATTTCTTCTATCCCACGTGTTAGATGGAAATAATTAGGTTCCTCATTGTTCTGTGAGCCTTATTTCGGTGGGGAAAACGCTTTTAACTTAAGGCTGAGTGGAAATTGTTTTTGTGTAATTCCAGTTTTTGTAATGACTCTTGAAGTGAATTTTCTGTATTTGGGGAAATCCAAACCATTGTTTCTTTTCAGTCTGGAGGCTACTAAATACAAGTTTTGTGAAGCTATTTGGCCTCATCCTGCAAACACTTCTGCATGTGAGTAATTCTTTGGTTAGTGGGACTGTTCACATGCGTGAATGTTTGTTTATTAGCTAGAGAGTGCATTTAAAATCCCGGATACTGACGTTCTACAGTCCCACCCAGACCTCTCTGGCCATAGCAACTTCAGCAACATTCCAGATTTGCTCTCAAAGCTTTCAGGGCTGCTCGCAGCTTTGAGGCACTGGCAAAACGTAATTTAGAAGGGGAAAAATGACCTAAAGCATTCCTTTTCCACCTGTGAGGAAGATGCAGTGTGACTGGTGCAAACTCAAAGGGGCATAAAACTTGGGATTTCTGTACCCCAGGTGACACTCCTGCTGCATTTTTCCATGCCTCCGTCCCTTTGATGTGGAAATTGGTCCTATCCCCTGTCTGCCTTTGTTTTGCTGGGCTAGGCAAGCCGCTCGCCCCGAGTACCTTGAATCCACCCAGGGTGTGTGGATGAGCTCTTGGCACTGGACTTGTAAATCCCCATCTCTCACCATCCCTCTCCTCGTATGTCCTGCAGTGTAATCACCTTTTTCAGTGCCATAGCACAGCAGTGGCTTATTGTCCACGTGTGACTGGACTAAAATACCCTGGGTTTTTCCCCCCATGACGCTTCAAACGTCGGTAGTGGCTGGTCAGCATGAAAATAGCCGGTGTCTCCTGCTCTAGGCCATGTCAGGAGGTTTTTGCTCATTTCCCACAAGAGGGCATCAGCAGCTGTGCCTTCATTATAACGAAAATCCCTTATTTAACACTTGCTGCTAATAATGTTTCTTACCTCTCCTAAATTCCTTATGTCTTCTGTTATTGAAAAAGTTTTTAGGTGGGAATAAGTATCTTTAGCTGGTTGGAAGAAACCGGGTAACAAACAGCTGAAAACAGACCCTAGGTCCACAGGGTTTTCACGTACCCAGCCCACAGCCTTTTGAAAGTATCATTCTTTGAAAATAAGTCGTTTGATAACCTTTGCAAAATCAGGAGCCAGTGAGAAAGAGAGGAAAACGTGTTGGAAGGGTTAAGGCAGGGGAACTTTAGATGAACTTCCCTTTGTGTGCTTATAATCTATTTATCTGTGCTGGCAATGAGGTACAGGATCTCTTTTATCATTTTTTTTTTTTTTAAAGAGGAATTGTGGGTTATATGCACTGAGTTTGCGCCCGTTTAGTTAATTTCCTGTTCCATTCTTATTAAGTCTGCCTTTGAATAGGAACTACTATGGTCAATTGGAGGAAGAAACATTGTTTTTTGGAACCGAGAAGGTTTGTTTATCTCGTTCAAATCAATACCCCATTGCAGTAACCGTGTTCTTTCCCTCGCTAACCATGAGAGGGGAGGAAGAAAGGACCTGCCTGCCCAGTACCTTGAAATCAAGCGATATACGAAGCCAATTTCTGCGTTTGAGCAAAAGGCTCTGTTAACTGACTTGTGCTGAAACGCTTGGTCTATGAAGCAGTGGTGAAGACTGGACTTGGAGACTTCCCCAACTGAGGAAGAACTTGGGTGCTGTAATTTTCTCACGATAGCCGATGAGTTTAATATATTCTGTAGGTTTTGCAATTTTTGAAAGCTTCAGTGTGATGTGAAGCCAAGTAATGACGTGCGTAGCAACCGCTCTGCACAACATTACAGCAGTCAGACTCCAGCGTCTCTGGGAGTGTCATCAGGCAGCGCGGCTGCATCTTGAAAAGCCGACCACGTCTCCAGATCGGAGCTCGGCATGCCAAGTAGCCCGGCAGACAGCCTGCCTTTCTGTAGTTCTTACAATAAAGCTGGAGCACATCAGTTCACACTTGCTGTTCATTTCATTACGGGGTTCAGAAATAACTTACTGAGATACTTGCTTGAAATCTGATTGACATTATCATAAAATATTCAGAGTAGGTACAGTCTGTTCTAAAGTAGCATCAAAGCCCTTTTTACAGTTAGAGGCACCTCTCATGAAAAATGATCTGGACCCCTTCCCTTTCTCCATTGGGAGCCCAGAAAACACTTCATAGCTGATGTCGTGTTCTCCAGATGACAAAACTGTTGCATTCTATATTTGCTGTTTAGATACGGCAGGTCCTGACAATCCTTCAGTTCGCCCTCATCTTTCCCAAGCAGGTGACTCGCAGTTTTCCAATTCGGCCCCCTCCGTGCTTGCCACGCTTGCAGCCCTCGCTGAAGTGTCGGCACCGCTGTCCAACTCAAACAGAGACACAGGTAGGGGAAACCGGCCAGACGCTGATTCAAATTTGTGTAGTTCTAGCAAGTATCTTGCCAGGAAATTGGAGGAAATTTAAGGTCTGGAAGTGAATTTGCCTTCTTTCACAGTAAGGAAGAGATTGCAAAAAGTATTTGTGAAGCAGGGGGTGGTTTATTTATTTATTCAATCCCAGTTCAAACTTAATTAAAAAAAACAGCAACTGTTCCCAATAGAAGTAACTTCATTTTTATTAACCAGCATGTCTGACTCTGATACCACAGCACATTGCTCTTTATGTGCTTTGACAGTTATATAAGTTATATAAAAAAAAATAAGAACCAATGCTCTAGAATATTGAGTTTGCTTTAATGTATGAACATAGATAAGTATGAACATAGATAAGTATTTGTTTAAGAAGGAAATTGTCTAAAATGTTTTCTGTCCCTACTTTGCTGTAAAATGTTGTTACTCAAAATGTTTGAGTCTCTTGAGGCTCTGGTAACTTCTTACGGAAAGGTTTGGGCGTTTTTTGTGTTCGGGTTGGGGTTTTTTTTGTGATCTTTCATGGTATGTTTGTAGAATGTAATGTTTGACCTTTAATTAACTTCAGATTTAGAAATTTGATAAAGTTAAAGTTTATATAATCCTTTCACCTTGGAACTCATTTATTTTCCCGAAAGCTAGGCATTTTTTTCTAGAATCTAGACATGAGCGATTTGACGTCTTTAAGCTGCTGGTGCCACACCACTGACTCCTTGACCTGCGGTGCTCAAGTGTTTTCCTCTGGCACCCAGAGCGCACGTAGCAGGTCAGGTCCCCTCTGTTTCCTGCGCTTGCAGCATTCGCTGGGAGCAGGATGCAGCTGAGGGTTTGCAATCCTGATTATTTGGGCAAGACGTAAGTCACACAAAAGCGTCCCAGGGAGTTGAACCGGGCCACGGTCAGCCAGCCAGACTAAATAGCCTCCTCATGGTTGCTTTGGCCGCGCTCCTGTGGACGGGGCTCTTGAGGCACAAAGAGTTTTTTGCGTGTGGTTTGTCTTCGTTAGAGCTGAGGGAAGGGTCACGGAAGCTTTGCAGAGCCAGGTCTGCTCAACAGCTGCCTCCAGCTCCATGCTTTTTCATTTAACGAATACGCTTGTGTGATAGTACTTAGTAATTTACACAAAAAATGCTGGGTTTACTCTAGAACATTTGTTTTGCTAAGGTGTAGCGGATTTTATTTTCTTTCCCCTACAGACTGACTGTATTTCCAGATTGTTTTTCGTGAGTAGGCATCCCAGGAGTCTCAAGCTGCGTACTTGAGCTTTTTCACTAGACTTCAGTTTCTATTCAAGGAAGAGAGAAGGAAACGCTGACTCTTTTTTTTGGCACTTGCTTTGTTTCCTAAGGTAAGACGGAGGAAATAGTGGAAGCAAATTCTGTCGATTCTGCCATCCAACAAGTGGTTGGCAGTGGAGGGCAGCGCGTCATCGCCATTGTGACAGACGGAGTTCCCCTGAGCAGCCTGCAAACAGCTGTCCCCACCAGCGGCCTCAGCCAGCCCTTCATCCTAACCATGCAAGATGGACAGCAAGGTAAGCAGGAGCTGAACTCGGAAGGCAGCGCTGAGGATTAACTTCAAAACCAACAAAATAACTGCTGCCTGTGGACCCCGTTGAGCCCCGCGAGGCCGGCGGCTGGCGTGATCTGGCTTGTCAGTGCTGTGGTGTAACAGATCTGTGCCTGCCTGCTGGGCTTCAGGAGGGGTTAAAATGTCTGTGTGGCTTACGTCAGCGGGAAGGCTTGCCAGCGACTTGTTTGTAGCTTAATTCACGCTGCTACGCTTTAGTATTTTGGTCTTTGCATTAAAACCAAGCACCCTCAGTAGAAGGCTGCGGGAGGAGAAATGCCAAGGTAGCCGCTCTCTCTGTGGGAGTCAGGCAAAGACAATTGCTTTAGCTTGTGGCGAACTTCCTGGTCTGGGAGTAAATTACTCGACCAAAGAAACTGCAACCTGTTCCCTTTAGCAATCACTCCATCGTTCTTACAAAACTTAACACTAGGCCATTAGTATCAGCTTAAATAAACCTTTTCCTCCCATAACGCTAGTTATATTGCCGAGGGCAATATAATCTATCAGTTTCACAAGGCAAACGTAAATCGTGTTCAGTAAAGCAGGGCAGAGCTCCAGAGCGCTGGTACAGTGAATTTGTGTTTCCTCAAGGGATGTATTTCATCAGCCTTGCCTACTACCGACAGTTCTTTTAGCACGTCCTAGGGATACTCGATTATTTGGATTAACATTGGTGTAGAAAAAGAGGATTAGGAAGCAGAGCAGCTCTCCTGCAACATGCATACAGTGCTACAATGTGAGATGGGTTACATCAGTTCTGTCTGTTTACGGACTTAACAAGTGAAAAGCAATTTTCTAAAGCTGTTAATTATTCAGAATTGTTTGCCAAATTACTACAAATAATTCCTGGCTTGTAACCAATTCTGAGTCTGAGGAAGACAAAGGGAGAACTGTTTAGGTAGCGCTACCTTCAGCAGCTCACGTGGTGCCTTTCTCCTCCTTGGTTGGACAAATTCTTGCTGCTGGCTTCCCGAAGTGAAAAAACCCCATGTTTGCAGATTTAAAATGTGTTTGTTCTCTGGAGTATTTGCAGCTCTTGCATACGCTTAAAGCTGATTCAGAGCTTAGCCGCTGGGGCTGTGTACTGGGAATTTTCGAGAAGAGCTTTCTATTCCTCTTGCTTAGCCTGTCTCGGCCATTAATTGCATTACTGAGGCATCAGAATGATAGTTTTCACCTCATAGTTTTCTGAGGTGCAAATCTTTGACTTTGGATTCTGTCAGCCCCGTTGTGGTGAAACACTCAAGTATTTCGGAGGCCTGACTAAAGAAAACTGGAAACCCAGTCCAGCGTTTCTCTCCTCTCTGGGAAGACTTGGGCACTGCGGCTCCACAGGCCTCCTCTTTCTCCAGAACCACGCTGATGCACTGACTTCGGAGAAGCCTTTCGGGAAACATCTGTGCAAAAGCATGTCTCACACTGTATAATTTGTCACCTTTTAATTTTTCAGTTTTAACTGTACCTGCTGGTCAGGTTGCAGAAGAGACTGTTATTGAAGAGAGAGATGACGCAGAAGAGGAAGAAAAGCCACTGGCCAAGAAGCAAAAAGTGGAACAAAATGTAGATGACTCGAAGGAAGACAAGGTAGATACTCCCGCTTGTAACTTTGATTGCCGTCATCTCCTGCGTGTTTCTCTGCTGTGCTGAGGATGTCGGGCTCCTGGTCTGCCAAAGCCATCTCAGAACAGAAACGAGCTGCGCCCTGCTCGGCTGAGCCCGGGGATGTCTTAACAAACCCCGTGTGGAGGCTCCCTGCTCTTCCCGCCCATGCTCCTGCGTTAGCAATGAACACGCGAGTGGCTGAGAGGAGCAATGTTCAGTCGAGTATAGGTAGGAGGAAAAGAGCCAGCTAAATCGCTTGTTGCCGTTCTGCCTGGGCTAAAGGCATAGCTCAGGGTTTTTAGATGAATCGTGGCGGTTTACTGAGATTATTCAGGATTTCCTTTAGAAGCACAACACATGGGCTGGGTGTAAGGCAAGTCTCAGCTCTTCAGAAAGCAGCAGGAAAGACTCTCCCATCACCCTCTGTTGGGAGGAGGAACGTTTTTCTCAGTTGCATCTCAACTTTTCAGCACTAATACCTCTTGATTTTTCTTGCATTTTGGTTACACCTGCTTCCAACCTTTGAATTTCATGGTGGTGAGATCATGCGTGACTTCCCAGCGCGCCCCCCTGCACGCTGTGGGACACCTACGCGCCGGTTTGTGCCTCCCGGTGTCCCCGTTGCCTCTGTGATGAGCAAGCCAGTTGAACAGAACTCAACCCAAGCACGTTTTTAGTGCTGCCTTAGAGCATTTTGTAACTGGTAACTGTTGGAGTGCTTGCACACCCCCTTTCCTTCGTGTCGCAGGTTGGGCCTCCATCGTGGGCTCTCTGAACTTTTGTTTTCTGTAGGACAGTGACGAAAGGGAAGTGCTGCAGCAGCAGTTGCAAGAGGCGAATCGGAAGGCTCAGGAATATCGCAGCCAGCTCATGAAAAAGGAGCAAGAGGCGGAGGAGTACCGGCTGAAGCTGGCAGCCATGGTGAGGCAGCAGCCCAATGGAGCCGAGGTGACGGTGCTCCAAGAGGTCGCCGAGGGTGACTCGCTTGTGGTGACCTCAGAAGACATCAAGGAATCCGTGCTGGCCATGCTGGAAACAGATCAGCCAACTGATATCGCTGTGGAAACTGTAACCTCCTAATCCGCCGTGATTGAGTGGGTTTTGTAAAGGAAAATAACTTTTTTTTTCTTTTTTGTTTGTTTGTTAAATAAGGTGCTGTTGGCAAGCAGCGTTGAGAGCAGAGGGCTGTTGTCGAAGCCGCCCCATCGCCAGGGGCAGGAGCTTCTCCAGCCGCTCACAGCATGACTCTGCATCAGCGCGGTGCCCAAAGGTGCTTTGAAAGCTTGACCTTGAGAGATTGGAAGCTTTTTAACAAAATTTTAGCCCAGCGAGTGACCTGGCGGCTTATTTGGTGGCGTCAATACCTGCATTGTTGAGGAAAGAAATACCTCATTGCCGAAGCAGCTGGTCTGAGCTCTGGGCTGCCTGGAAAGGGCAGCGCTGCAGATGGGCTTTCCGCAGTAACCTGAGGTGCTTGCGCCCTTCTGCGAAGCCGAGTGACCGGATCTGCACCTTCAGAAAGAGCCGTCTCTTGGGGTGTTGCTTTAAAATCTTCAGAGGTGCAGAGGGGATTTCCCCTCTTAGCCAGAAAGCAAATTACAGAATCTTTTTCTTCCAAAACCACAAGTCTTTCTGATTGAGGCAACCTTCAATGCAAGAGCGAAGGCCTGGCTGGATGTCTCGTTTCACGCTATCAGGGAATACCACGCTCTGGGGGGGTCCTTCGTCAGACCCCTTAACTACCCAAAGGGATCACAAAAATTCCTCCTCGGTTTTATGATTTTTAGTCAAATGTTCGATGTGACACTTCTGCGCTGAACGGAAGCGTTAACTGATCACATATGCAAAGCCATACGTACGGTGGTTGCTGCAAGACAGCCTGGGAGTCGAGTTGGCTCTGGAGATACATATGTCACTTTTTTTTTTTTTTTTTTTTTACTAAGCAGTTTTATTTTTAAAGATACTAAAACCTTTTTTAACAAGCAGCTGATCTTGTTACTGAAATGCTCGGGCTTTTTTGACTCTCTGCAAGCCTGTTTCGTGCAGGGATCTTCCATGCAGCTGACTGGGGGGATCAAGACAGCAGGGGACTGACTGGAAGCACCCCGAGTTATCGTGTGGAGCTTCATAACGAGAAATTATCAAGTGCAGTTTAGAAAAATACCATCACGCAAGCTGTGCTGTTGGCCGCGGAAAGGTGTTAAGGGCGAGGAGTGAGGTGCAGTGCTGAGGCGCTAGCCACCGGACGGCTCTGAGAGTAGCTTCTCGCAAGATAAAAATCCAGTTCTTCTGGCCCACAGTTGGTTGGTTTGGGGTTGTTGGGCTTTTTTTGTCCTCTTTTTTAACCATTGGCAGCATTCAAAGTAATAATTCAATGTCATGGTTCTTGCGTTGCATTTTTCTCTGTTATTTCCAAGCATGTCCAGATAATATGGTTTTCTCTTGGTTCAGGTACTGCCTTTAATGTTTCTTTGCCGATAGATCAGCCGTATCGTCATGTCAGAGGCATAATATGGACTAACGAGTTCGTAAAGGTATGAACGTATGGTCCCGGCTCTGAAGGAATTTCTCACCCCAAGAGTAAACCGCTTTTTGTCCTAAAATCGGTCAGTTCCCGCTGGCTGACGGGAAGGTGGGATGTGCCGAATCCCCGACTCCGGCGAGGCTTCGCCACGTTTCCCCGGCTGGGTTCATCCGCCAGCGGTCAGAGCGGGAGGTTTGTGTGACTCGTGCTGTAAAGGCTTCCTGAGACTTGCTGGGTTTGGAGAATCTAAGTGCATTTATTTATAACCAGTGTAGCTATATTTATAAATAAGACTTTTTAAAATTTTTTCCAAAAGATGTCTTGAAGAAGGCTTTAATAATTATTTTTTATGAATGAATATTTGGAGAGACTCTGTTCCTGGTTATTGATTACTTTGGCGTTTCCTCGCTGACTTCGAGCAAGTGTTAAGTTATTTTCTTTTGTTCCCCAGACCGTTGACAGTTTGGGTCTGTTTGAACTAAAAATCCGCACCGGAGAGTTGGAGACAGTGTTAAAGCGAATCCAGGCAGATTCTAATACCAGAAAGTGTTTACGGATGTAAAGGGGTGCTGTCAACTTTGGCTTTTATGTTTTGCCTGAAATTTGTGCTTATTATTTGTAAATTTGAAGAGCTGGGCAGCTGGAGCGGGTATAAATGCTGTGTTGTGCCTCCGACAGCACTGCGATTCTCACTTACTTCCATCCTTCCCCTGAAAAGGGTCAGTTTTGCCAAAAAGTCCCTTCAGCCGGGAAACAAACTTCCCCTTCAGAAGAGAAGAAAAAAAAAAACCCAAGTCCGTGGCGCTCCCGGTGACGGGGTTTGGTTTGTGGAGTCGGAACAAATACAGCTGACACTGTTCTCACTGCTTCGCCGGGGGGGGATCACACGTTAGTTTTATTTTTAGAAGTAACTCGTGTACGGGGTCTGAACAAAGATGAGGAGAATTTGATCTCCGCCCAGGGTTTAGAAAGAATTTCAACCCGGCTGCATCCTCGGCTCCTCTACGGAGGAGTTGGAGCTTTTTAAGCCGAGACCAGCGGTTTCTGCAGGCTGCGTGGTCAGCCGGGCCGTTGTCAGCGGGTGAATGGCCTCCCACGGCCGTCAGGGCCGCGCTCTGCCGCGTCGGGCCTTTTCTGGCCCACGCCATCCCGTGGGGCGCCGGGTCGGGAGAGGCAAAACAGCCCCTCGTTTTCCAGGCTTGGCTCTTAGCGAGGCGGGTGGGCGCGCTTGCCCTCCGCTGCCAGCCTGGCACGGCAGCCGCCCTCGCTCCTGCGGGCGGGAGAATCCCGGCTTGCTTCCCTGCCTGGGGACGCCGGTGCAGAAGTTGAGGTCTTAAAAGGAAAGTGTGGGGTTTCTGCTCGGTGGAGGAGGTGGCGCGGCGCTAATGGAACCGGTTTGGGTTTGATTAGACTGTATTTCCCTCCTGTTCGCAGTAACCACCTCCAGCCAGTTCCTGTTATCCCAAATCGGAAGCAGGGCGTTGTAAATCCAGCGGGGATGAGCGCAGGTCGTGGAAACGCCAACTAAATCCTCTCCAGACGGCCGCGAAGGGGAATTACGGACCCCGGGCCGTCGGCTGAGGGTGGCGCCGGGCCCCGGAGACATCTCCGCCCGCCTCCGTGCCAGGCGCGGTGCCGGCGTATTTATCGCAACATAAATTGCCGTTTCATGGCGGCAGGTCCCTTAACCCCCCCCGTTAGCCCTGAGCCGAGGAGCCGAGCGCTTCGGCCCCCGTTCCACTGAGGGCAAATGTCTGGAAATGTGGAAATTTCAACATTTATACTTTTTTTTTTTTTTTTGTACTATGTTTCTTAATAAAATACCACGACCTCAGTCAGCAGCTTTCCCTTACCCTCAGTGTTACCCCTTTGCGTTGCCAACCCCATCGTGTCCCCTGGTGTCTCATGTGCCACCCTCCCTGTGGGGACACCCCACGCTGGACCTCCACCCTGTCCCCGAGCTGGGCTGAGGGTCTGGTGGCACATTCCCCCACCTTTGTCCCACCCCACTCTCATCCCCCCTCACCCCGGACAGAGCCAGATGGGCACCAGTGCAGGAGCGACCACGTATTTAATTGCCGCGGCCGGTGCGGGCTGAGCCCTGGTCCTACACGGTAGGACAAGCTGAGCTCTGTCACAGAGAGCCACCGTGTCCCCATGCCCTTCCTGGGGAGGGGGGGGCAGTGGCTCCCCAAAAGCAGGAAAAAAATAGAAAAGGAAAAAAAAAAAAAAAGCCCTGGAAAATGGGGACCCTCCTCAGCCCGGGCTGGGACGTGGGGATCCTGTCACCCTGGGCAGGGGGATGAGATGGCTCAGGGACACGGAGGACCCTCGTGGCCCAAGGGAGGGAGACGGGAGCAGCCTGGGGACACGGGGACCCTCGTCACCCCGGTGGGAGCCAGTCTGGGGACATGGTGACCCTCATCACCCTGAACTGGGAGATGGGGACCCTTGTCACCCCGGTGGGGGCCAGCCTGGGGACCCTCGTGGCTCAGGGCATGGAGCTGGGGCAGGGGGACACTGCCACCCAGGGCAGGGGATGGCTCAGGGCCCCCCCGGC